ATATTATACTTATAATATGTATTGATAAAAGGAATAATTTAAATTGTAAAATTTTTTTCAATATTCAGTTTGTCATGTAATATATAATAAATATATAACAGATATTTATCAGTTTTTATTGCTAGCATTGTATGTAACATTCTAACAAAAATACCAAAATGTAAAATTGGCCGATTATCGAAACCGATTTATCGGGGAAATGGTCGATACCGATTTATCGGCTAAGTGGCCGATACGTCCGATTACCGATTACTTACCGATTAATCGGTGCATCCTTATTAAGCAATATAATTATTCATTAAAAATCATATAATTTGTACTAAATTCTCAATTATTATAAAATATTAATTGAAATGACTGAAAGTTTTCAATGCACAAACAACATATTATAACAGATTTATTCTGTTTAATAAGTCACTTTATGTTGTCACACAACGCGTCAGAAGAAAATTTATCACACAGTCTACGGGTTGGTACTGATCCAAGAACAATGCTTTAACCTTTTGACTGCACCTAACTCGTCGCTAATTTCTTGATTCTATTAATTTACCGGACTCTGCCTAGTACAATAGAGCAATATAAATACGCTCGTCTAACGGGTGCACGAAAATCGGACAGATTGTATTCATACGGATCGTTTGAAATAGTAGGAATGTATAGTAAACTGCGTGTTGGTTTAATGAATATAGATAATAAAAAGTAACCATAAACCTTAAACACTTTGAATAGAGAAGAACAATCTTTTGTTAGCAACTAGATTTACTTAATTACTAGTGTTGTAACGAATAGTATATTCTGCCTCGGGCCGAATACCGAATATTCGGCCAAAAGCGTGGCCAAATAGCCGAACATTCGGCCAAACTATTCGGCTTGATTAACACACGTACGAAAATTGGCGCGCAAACCGCATTGTGGCAAGGATCCTGCTCTCTATTGACTCGCTGTCACTACGTTTCGCCAATCGCGTTAATTCTTGGCCGTTGTAGTGGACAGACAAGAATGTCATGGAAGTATGCGATAAATGATGATATCAAATGTGGATAACAATGAAATGACCTACACATGTAATAACGGAAAAAGAACAGAGAAGGACCGCGAAGTGAAAATGTGAAAATAAATATGAAATTGAGTTGATAACATAATCGAACAAGTCGAGGCAGCTTATTGGCACGAAATTCGCGGCAGTCAATGCCAAAAAATTGTTGTCATAGACTTCGGAAAGATAAATGCTTGTAATGAAAGTCACTTAGCGTGCACGGGCGAAAGCCTGGGGCCGTTCGCGCTACCAAGCTGTCTCGAATCTGTGAAATCATAACTGTGACTTATATCGACGTCCTATTTGTCTCTTTTCTCCGTTATCACCAGTCTGAGTCACGTNTATGTACCTCAGAAGATCCATTCTTCTTTAAACAAAGTAATAGGAAAGTTTTTTGTTTCGTAGCCACAATTTTGACAACGAACGTCGAATGCCACTTGGTGTGTGGCAAGGAAATAGTCGTAAATGTGCTTCAAATTTGGAAAGTTTTCTTCTGTTTCGTGTTTGGATTGTATGACCAAGTGCGATAGTTTGAAGTTACTGAACTTTAAAAATGTTTGAAAGTTTGGAAACAATTATGCCGGCACTTGTCAAAAGCTGCAGCTTCAATTCAGATTTCTATAATTTACACGTTTCTTCACGTGACATTAGAGTAATTTGGAGTTTTGTGCGATATAAAAAAAGGCATAAACTCAGACTTATGTAACTAAGAAGTTTTGTTAGTAAAAGGAAAATCCTAACAATTATAATACTGAATTTAAAAGATGAACCTTTTACGTGAAATCCTTTCAAGTAAAAATGTAATTTTTTAACCGAAATAAGTAAGAAATTTTTATATTTTATACGATAACCTAGTGAATATATAAATGAATTTAATAAATCCGATAAATATTTACTAAATTTAACGAATAAATTGAGATCATTTCGTAATCTCAACCACCCTATTTTAGTGTTTATATTAATTATTAAAAACAATTGTTTATGACCACTTCTTCCTTTTCTGTTCTCTTAAAAAACTGTTTAAAATTTTATCTATTAAACATACATTATTCAATGTGAATTCGCTAGAAAAGGCAAAGCTTTCAGCTTTTAACACATTTGCTTACAAGTAAATAGCTCACTCCGAACATCTAAAAAGTTCGTATCTGGAAATTCTTCTGGAGAATTGTTATGTGCTTCAAAGAATACCACAAAAGAAAATAAAAAAAATTAAGCTTTGAATATAGAATCTCCAAATTGGCTTATTCCTGCTATTTTACAAACAATACAGGAGGCTTTTTCTTATTATTATGAAAAATAAATTTTAAACATACATACGATCTGACAGAATACAACAGGCCAGTTTTGAGAAATGTAAAAATCAANCAATTATTATAAAATATTAATTGAAATGACTGAAAGTTTTCAATGCACAAACAACATATTATAACAGATTTATTCTGTTTAATAAGTCACTTTATGTTGTCACACAACGCGTCAGAAGAAAATTTATCACACAGTCTACGGGTTGGTACTGATCCAAGAACAATGCTTTAACCTTTTGACTGCACCTAACTCGTCGCTAATTTCTTGATTCTATTAATTTACCGGACTCTGCCTAGTACAATAGAGCAATATAAATACGCTCGTCTAACGGGTGCACGAAAATCGGACAGATTGTATTCATACGGATCGTTTGAAATAGTAGGAATGTATAGTAAACTGCGTGTTGGTTTAATGAATATAGATAATAAAAAGTAACCATAAACCTTAAACACTTTGAATAGAGAAGAACAATCTTTTGTTAGCAACTAGATTTACTTAATTACTAGTGTTGTAACGAATAGTATATTCTGCCTCGGGCCGAATACCGAATATTCGGCCAAAAGCGTGGCCAAATAGCCGAACATTCGGCCAAACTATTCGGCTTGATTAACACACGTACGAAAATTGGCGCGCAAACCGCATTGTGGCAAGGATCCTGCTCTCTATTGACTCGCTGTCACTACGTTTCGCCAATCGCGTTAATTCTTGGCCGTTGTAGTGGACAGACAAGAATGTCATGGAAGTATGCGATAAATGATGATATCAAATGTGGATAACAATGAAATGACCTACACATGTAATAACGGAAAAAGAACAGAGAAGGACCGCGAAGTGAAAATGTGAAAATAAATATGAAATTGAGTTGATAACATAATCGAACAAGTCGAGGCAGCTTATTGGCACGAAATTCGCGGCAGTCAATGCCAAAAAATTGTTGTCATAGACTTCGGAAAGATAAATGCTTGTAATGAAAGTCACTTAGCGTGCACGGGCGAAAGCCTGGGGCCGTTCGCGCTACCAAGCTGTCTCGAATCTGTGAAATCATAACTGTGACTTATATCGACGTCCTATCTGTCTCTTTTCTCCGTTATCACCAGTCTGAGTCACGTAATTGTAAAATGGGAACTTTTCGACGGAAAAGTGATGAATCGAAAGTATCGTGAGCGCGTATTATGATGTATGCACAGGCATACATGGATTAGAGTGATAGAGGAAAGAGAAAGGGAAGAGCAAAGACAAGCGCTTAAATAGAAGGATAGGCAGGGTCAGACCCTCAGATGTGCGTGGATTGTCCAACGATAGACGTGTAGGTGTGCTGATCTTTGTAATTATAATGTTATATTCTTTTTTATTTTGTGCATGTTACAAGTTATAAATAAATATAAACAAACAACACTAACTCGATAACATTAAATCTAATAACCAAAATGATTAATTTACTGTGTTTTTGTTATTTATTACTCCTGTTTTTAGGTATTCGGTATTCGGCCGAACAGTGATTAAATATTCGGTATTCGGCCGAATAGTGAAAAATAGGCCGAATAGACCGAATACCAAATAGTAACCGAATATTCGTTACATCACTATTAATTACTTATTTTGCCGAATATTCTGACAATTATCACTGTTTTAAAAATGGCTACGAATGGTGTAATACTACTTTTTTAATTCCTATATGAAGAACGTCGTCTTATATCATTGAAGATTTGAATCAAATAAATTTTCAAGTTTTATACTTTTTAATTGAAATTCACAAGAATTACATTAAATCAATTTTAATAATTTTCATTATTTATATACAATATTTAGTGTATAAAAACATGTACACTTTTTTCGAAATTTAACAAGATGTAATTTCTAATTATATTTCATTGAAATTATAACATAAATTTGCGATTTATCATAAGTTAAACTTATTTTGANGAAAACACAAAAGAGAACATTCTAGAAACGCATATGAACAATGAACAATGGTTGCGTTAACTAGAAAAGCCTCTTTGTTAAAAGACAGTTAATCTATTTCGCTAAAAGTTAAGTTAGCAGCTGTAGCGCTAAGCAGCGAGGTTTACAACGCCAAAGACAAGTTAAGATGGCTGCCATCATAAATTATACGTATAATATGTACTATGTGTGAATTGGAGTTTGTCACATACGAAATTTTATTTTAAACTGGTTATCGAAGAAATTAGAAACGTAGTTGTCCACATAANTACTTATTTTGCCGAATATTCTGACAATTATCACTGTTTTAAAAATGGCTACGAATGGTGTAATACTACTTTTTTAATTCCTATATGAAGAACGTCGTCTTATATCATTGAAGATTTGAATCAAATAAATTTTCAATTTTTATACTTTTTAATTGAAATTCACAAGAATTACATTAAATCAATTTTAATAATTTTCATTATTTATATACAATATTTAGTGTATAAAAACATGTACACTTTTTTCGAAATTTAACAAGATGTAATTTCTAATTATATTTCATTGAAATTATAACATAAATTTGCGATTTATCATAAGTTAAACTTATTTTGAAAAATTTTATTCAATTATGTAAGGTTATTCTCTATTAATAATAATAGTAATAATAAACATTTTAACAGAAATTAAAAATTCATTTTATAAATGTAATAAAAGTCATTAAATTACATATTTAATTATTTTCAAAAATGTCTTTCCACAAGTTCATGACGTCACTGTCTTTTGTTTTTTCCACAATTTTTTCATTTAACAATCGTATTTGTTCTTCGTTAAAGTAATTTTTCCAATCGCCAACAATTCCTTTTCTAACCAGAGTCCCGCCTTTTGTATCTTTTCCTGTTTTATTTATATTTTGTAAAAATTTCATCATCCCTGGAGGAAAATTTTTATTTTGTAGCCACGTTTTGTCTTTTTGAAAAAACACATCAACGTTATTCTTGCTGTTCTCTTTCATATAATCGAAACTGCTGTAATAAATAATATTTTCTAATATTGTTGGATCATTCAAAATACTTTTTTCGTATTCTTCTCCCATGAATTTGGCTATTTTCACAATTTCTTTCTTGATATCTTTCTTGAGATCTTCGTATGTTACAAAATGAACGTTGCTGTCATTTTTATGTTCGTACCATCCGAGAAGGTGATCGAAATAATCGCCGTATGGTATATTACCTTGGAGAAATAGTTCAAAAAATTCTTGAAAACTTAACTCGACTATAGGAAGTGGATGGAATTTTATATGATGATAAAACGAAACACAACAGTCTCTAGGGTTTCTGGTAGTGTAAATATATTTAGATTCTGGAGAAAAAGGAGTAGCAAAAAATGGTAAGTGTGTTTTCATGGCTTTCGGTTTAGTCATTTCTATATATTCTCTTCCCATCATCTCTATAAACGGACAACCTAACAGGAAATCTAACGGATCCTCGGATGGTTGACCTTTACGAAGGATTAACGTGACTATATGATGCATCCAAGTTGTTCCACATTTCGGATAACTAACGAGAAACAAATCTCCAGGTTTCGCTTTATAATTCATTCCAGATAAAACAGATTCTTCCGAATGATGCAACGACATACGCATCCCACCCACTTCCTTATAAATTTTCATCTTCTCCATTACTATAAGTTATTTATAGCATATTATATTAAACAAGTATTAACATTGAGTAATTATTTAGTACATTTAATATGAAGTATTATACTCACTTTCTCGTATGCTAGTTAAATCAAATGTTCACAACTAGAAAGTGTAACTGAGGGTTAAAATAATAAGAAGCAAAATGAATAAATTTAACCTTTTTTTACTTCTGATAATATTAATCTCCAGACATCAACAAGTAGAATATATCAAAGGATAGTCTTTTATATCGAAACTGTAACAATACATTAGTTGATAACATCCGATATGCTTTGTTTTATCATTGTATATCTGAGGTTAACGCGATTACAACTTTATAAAGAGTTTTAAATTTGAAAATGTAAACGCCCTTTCTCATAAGTATTGCAATTACAACAAGTGAACCTTTCAAAGACTTATAAACTAAATACTCAAATGTTCAGAAGCCCTACTTTAAAGCAATCCTACTATGGAGAAAAATTATTTAAATAGTTGTAATGTTACTAATTTATTAATTGCGATGAGGAATAGGAGAAGAATCAGACACCGCTGGATTAGATTTTCCGGATGATTTGGAAAAAAGTAATAAACCTGTAGTAAATCACAACCGAATTTCTTACACATTATGACATATTTATACGCTTGTGTTACTTTAGTAAATATTGACAAGATCGACAGAACGACTTAGGGGAACCATAAGACTCGATCCGCGTTGATTTGATTAACAATAAACAAGCAATTATTTATTGTGACATCGTCACAATGCCGTTATGCAATTTTTGATCACCGTGTTCTCAGTTGTTTTAGTAGTGTTGTGCTCCTGTATATCACGATTTTCTCATTAAACAATTTCAATTATAAACTTTGACTTCAAATATTAACCCATAAATTTATGATATCGGTGCCTCCCAATTTATTATTAATCTTATCTTGCAATCTCTTTAATTGATTTTCATTAAAATAATTCTTCCAATCGTTAACAACGCCTTTCCTGATAAAAGGTAATTGCGTTTCTTCGCCCTCTGACTGACTCAAAATTTTCATAGTTTTTATTAGACCGGAAGGTAAATTCTCATTATGAAAAAGTTCGTCGCCTTTGAAGAACTTAATCATTATTTTATCGACGTGTTCCTTCATATATTCGAAACTGCTATAATAAATGATGTTTTCCATTATTTTCGGATCTTCTATAATGGGTTTTTCATATTCTTCGCCCATAAATTGGGCAATTTTTAATATTTCTTCTCTAATATTTTTTTTCAGCTTTTCGTAAGTTACAAAATAGACATTTTTATCATTTCTGTGTTTGTACCATTCGTAAAGATGTTCGAAATAATCTCCAACTCCCACTTTACCGTCTATAAATCTATCAAAGAAGTCGTCAAAACTCAGATCATTGTCTGACTTCATGAATTTTATAAAGTGATAGAAGGAAACACAACAGTCTTTCGGATTTCTAGCTACGTAGATGTATTTTGCTTGTACAGAAAATGGCGTAACACAAAATGGAAAGTGAGTTTTCATAACTTTAGGTTTTGCACTTTCAATATACTCTCTTCCAACAGTTTCTATAAATGGACAACTTAAGATAAAATCGTAAGGATCTAAAGAAACTTGACCCTTTCGCAGAATCAGCAAGACTATTTGATGCATCCAAGTAGTACCACATTTAGGATAAGTGACTATAAACAAGTCTCCGGGTCTCGCTTTATAATTCATAGCCGATCGGATAACGTCTTTGGAAAATATAGGTGGCATCCGAATTCCATCAACATCTTGATAAAACTTTCTTTTTTCCATTTCTACAAATAGAAATTTTTTATATTAGTACTAGCTGCAAGGACCCGCTTCGCTGGCTTTTTATTTGTGGGCAAAAAGTAACGATAGTGAAGATAAAGATAAGTACATTATAGTTAATCTTACCCGTTTTCACAGAATGCAAGAATTAGGCCCCCGTTTCCAGACTAATTAGACAATTTTTACGTCCAGTCAAACGAACTATTTTCAATTTGATCAATTTTCTGGAATGTTTACAATCGTTATATAATCGAAACAATTCGAATTCGAATACAAATTCGAATTTAAAACGGTTCGAACATTTTTAAAATCGAAATAGAAAATCTTCGAAGTCAACCACTTTCAGCCCCCATATCTCCCGCACCCTTATAGCTATCGAGACGCAACCACCATAGTGCACGAATGGAGACTTGGATCTACTACCACATACAAACACCATTCACGTGCGATGTGTAGTTTTGGCGAAAAAGTGAAATATAGGGACACACACGTCTATTTTTATATATAGATATAGATATATATATAGATATAGATGTAAATAGATATATAGATATAGATAAACAATTATTTTGAGAGTAAGATGTGAGTAATAAAAATAAATTGTCAATGCCAATAACGAGTAATGTTATCATTTAAACTCGATATATGCTACACGATTCCTTCGTCTCTTCACTCCTCGACCATTAATCATTAAAATTTAAGAGTTTGCAATGCTCGGAGCATAATTGAAAGAAACGGCTAATAAAGAAATAGAAGAATGGTACGCTCGATACAAAGAACAAGTTGAAAAGGCCAAATTAAATAATAGGAATGCAGAAAAAGAATGGATAAAAGAATTTATCTCTCTATATTCAGGCAGAAATCTTAAATGTCTCTATTAATATTTTTAACGTACAGTACTTACCGACAACTTTATATTAGTAGAAATTACAACTATCGTTTACACGAGTTAATTTATCACGAATAGATTTTGTGTTATCAATGACGTCTAATAAGTTCAATAAACTATCTGATTTATTATCTGTATTCTAGATTATTTTATTTCTATGTAATATATTATTTTTTAATGACAGATCCGTGAAGATAATATCTAATTATCACAGAACTAACGTAATTTTCTATCGAAATTTAATACGGCAACAGTAATGAGATATTGCATATAGATATAGTGATGCGTGTAGTGTTGCGTACCTAGATAAAATCGCATAACATTTAATACAGTTATAAAAACTAATGTTATATACTGTATCTACTAACTCTACTGTATGTATTATAGCACGATTTCGTTCGCCCTGTTTGAAGCTTAATAACTCTTGTGGATTTTGTCGACAATTTCTGAAATATTGCTAAGAGGTTTGTTTATAAAGGGGATTGATACTGTTAAATTTTGGTGATAAAGGTCGAGGGGTGAGGTGATAAATAAGAGTAGTGTGTATCTCGAGTAGGGTTGGACTTAATGACGATTTTACTCGTTATTAGCATTTACAATTTTTTTTCATTATAAAATCCATCTCTACCCACAAAATTAAGTTTTTCCATTTTATAATAAATAAAAATATAAAAAATTGTTTAATAAAATATGATAACAGATGGTGCCATCAAAATTTAAAAGTTTTCGGGATATATTTCTTTTAAATATAAATGTAATGTAAACAATATACGTAATGTGCAATTGTTACATTTCTCAATTAGATTATTCAATATTTTTTTTATATTCGTAATTGCAGTTGTAATGAGGTCCCGGGGCTTTGCCAATGACGTGAATAATGGTGGCACATAAACCGTGTTCTTTACATATTCCAACAGAAAAAAAAATCACACGTCGAGTGGTCTGAACGCGTAAAAAGCATCGATACGGAACTTCATTGTTGATTCAACATTCATTCTAGCGGTGGGGGGGTTCTGCGTTCAAGTACGACGCACCTCAGTATGTACCTCAGAAGATCCATTCTTCTTTAAACAAAGTAATAGGAAAGTTTTTTGTTTCGTAGCCACAATTTTGACAACGAACGTCGAATGCCACTTGGTGTGTGGCAAGGAAATAGTCGTAAATGTGCTTCAAATTTGGAAAGTTTTCTTCTGTTTCGTGTTTGGATTGTATGACCAAGTGCGATAGTTTGAAGTTACTGAACTTTAAAAATGTTTGAAAGTTTGGAAACAATTATGCCGGCACTTGTCAAAAGCTGCAGCTTCAATTCAGATTTCTATAATTTACACGTTTCTTCACGTGACATTAGAGTAATTTGGAGTTTTGTGCGATATAAAAAAAGGCATAAACTCAGACTTATGTAACTAAGAAGTTTTGTTAGTAAAAGGAAAATCCTAACAATTATAATACTGAATTTAAAAGATGAACCTTTTACGTGAAATCCTTTCAAGTAAAAATGTAATTTTTTAACCGAAATAAGTAAGAAATTTTTATATTTTATACGATAACCTAGTGAATATATAAATGAATTTAATAAATCCGATAAATATTTACTAAATTTAACGAATAAATTGAGATCATTTCGTAATCTCAACCACCCTATTTTAGTGTTTATATTAATTATTAAAAACAATTGTTTATGACCACTTCTTCCTTTTCTGTTCTCTTAAAAAACTGTTTAAAATTTTATCTATTAAACATACATTATTCAATGTGAATTCGCTAGAAAAGGCAAAGCTTTCAGCTTTTAACACATTTGCTTACAAGTAAATAGCTCACTCCGAACATCTAAAAAGTTCGTATCTGGAAATTCTTCTGGAGAATTGTTATGTGCTTCAAAGAATACCACAAAAGAAAATAATAAAAATTAAGCTTTGAATATAGAATCTCCAAATTGGCTTATTCCTGCTATTTTACAAACAATACAGGAGGCTTTTTCTTATTATTATGAAAAATAAATTTTAAACATACATACGATCTGACAGAATACAACAGGCCAGTTTTGAGAAATGTAAAAATCAAATGGGATCAAGTTATTTGCGCTTTCATTAATTTAATGAGTAGTAATTAACTGTTGTCATCCGCTAAGTGTTTTCGATATCTTGGCACGAAGGAGGTCAACATCAAATTTAATTCAAAAGGAACATTGGTTTCGACCGTACAGCCTAAGCTTAAATCAGAACCTTTCAGACACGTCGTTAGGTCGAGGTACGAAAAATCAGAAACGTTTTACTTATTTTCTAATTTAAATTTAGTAAATATTTATCGAATTTATAAAATTTAATTATATATTCACTAGGATATCGTATAAAATATATAACTTTCTTACTTATTTCAGTTGAAAAATAAATTTTTACTTGGAAATATTTTACGCGAAAGGTTTATTTTATCCTTTAAATTCAATATTATGGTTGTCAGGATTTTCCTTTTAGTAACAAAACTTCTTAGTCTACGTTCGCGCCATTTCATAACGCACAAATCTTTACATTATTCTAATCTAATGTCGCTTGAATAAGCTTGTAAATTATAGAAATTCGAATTGAAGCTGCAGCTCATGATATCCAATACGAATGCTTACAAATGATAGCATGATTGTTTCTGGACTTTATAAGCATTCTTTATTTGTTTTTACCCATTATAGTTCAAACATTTATGTTTAAGTCTGCAGATATACCGTGTTATTATAAATAAATTGTCGGGGTTTAAAGTTCTG